TTTCTAAATCATTCGACCGACCTCTACCCCAACAACAGCAAAATATGGTAATAGCGCCCACTGCTAACAGAAACAAAGATAAGCGATGTGTAACCTTTTGCACTTACAATTACACTTCCAGTAGATTATCGACGTCTGAAGATACGTTTTACACCTAGTCAAAATGGGCATTTGTGGACGTATTTTTAAGTATTTTATATTGTCTCAATTATTGTGCTTTTTTCCCTAATGTTCGGTTCCCATATTTCGTTTGTCTTGCAACAGATAATCAGGAAGTAGTGATTGCGTGGTGAATCAACACTCTAAGCTGGCATGGGTATGAGCAGTCCAATCAAGGTCCCTTAATCCAATACACTACTCTCGGCACGTCAGATAATCAAGAAGTAGTAGTACTTGTTATGTGAACAATGTTTCGTGCTGACAAAAAGAGTACTTATCTGCCATGAACATCGTTTTAATTTGTTGCAAATTACAAACTAATTACAAAAGATCAAATGTATCATAGAAATATAGAAATCGACTAGTGTAAATGGCAGCCATGTTGGGAAATGATCGTCACTGTCTCATCCGGCACCCTGTCTAAACCGGCATTTTGTTTTCGGTCCCGTGGGGTGCCTGTGTAGACAGGTTTCACGGTGTCTTAATACAGAGTGAAAACTCTTTGCCTGAAACATGGACAACTGTAGTAACTTGCCCATGATCTTCCTCTTTTTCCGACACCTTGTGCGTTATCATGGTTTCTTTGGTCATGGGGATAAATATACTGAATCAAAAAAGAAACTTCACATTCTTTCTCCAGGGCACTATAAAAGAACAAGAGATGGTAAGATGGTTAAATTGTTATTATTTCATTGCTGAGATCTGTGTGATGTACTCGATACACTGACATTGCCATAATCAGTTCCATTAGGCTACACCGCCGTTCCAAAACATGGGTATACAGAATGTCAAGTCACAAGAATAAAAATGCGAAATTGCTCAGTTCAGTATCGTGTATGGCCAAACACCGTCTCCTCATCGACTGCCTGATGCTTGTGAACACGTGGTTGGGGATTCTGCGCCATTGCTCTTGCAAGGCAGAACAAAGTTCCTGCAAATTCTGAGCTCGGTTCCTAAGACCACGAAGCCTTCTCACAAGTGCATCCCAAACGTGCTCTATTGGATTAAGGTCAGGGGACGTCGATGGCCAGTCCATGACGTTGATTCCAGCGTTTTGAAGGAAATTGCGTGTCAACATCGCCGTATGCGGCCGAGAATTATCATGCTGGAACTGTAGACCTGGGCCATGAGCCGCCATGGAAGGAACGAGTTCAGGACCTGGGCCATGAGCCGCCATGGAAGGAACGAGTTCAGGGGTGAGCACCTGGTCGCGGTAAGCAGCAGCTGTGAGGTTTCCACGGATGACCAGAAGTCGGGAACGGTTGTTCCCACAGAAAGCACCCCACACCATGCAACTTCCGCCCCCAAATCTGTCGACTTCCTGTACACAACATTGGGCATACCGTTCACGACGTCGTCTCCAGACTCTATGCAACTTCCGCCCCCGAATCTGTCGACTTCCTGTACACAACATTGGGCATACCGTTCACGACGTCGTCTCCAGACTCTATGCCTGCCGTCCGCGAATCTGAGGGTAAACCTGGATTCATCGCTAAAGACGACGGAGGTGACGTTGGGCCCACAGCAGACGTTGACGTTGATGAAACGGCGTCAATATTGGCCCACGATATGGACGTCGAGAATGGAGATTGGCAGCCTGCAACCGATTTCGAATTGTCTGTAAGGACACTCGACCTCTAAACATCACAGGCCTGGTTCATGTAGCCGGCAGAAATCTGTCACGTAGGTGCCATTGAAATTAGTAGGATGAAGACAAAATGATACCAGTATTTTGCATTTAATATTGTAACAGCACGGACAAGAGGCGAATATTTACGAATGTTGTTCTCATACAGAACTATTTGATACATTTGATATTTGAGATTGTTCTTTTCATTGTACTCAGGATATTTTGCCGTACCTTCTGTTTTTTGTCATGTCTTAAGTTATTAGTAAAATGTCTTCTCACACACACATTTTCATATGCAATTTAGATATTGAAAACAAACATTTCTTAGCTTGAATTTAATATATTCAGTTTGTCGATCAAATTGAAACTTGGGTGTTCATATTTACCTCTTTCAAAGAGCGATATATAATATCAAAAATACATAAGGGATTGTATCTAAATGTGAAACGAATATTCATGCACAACGATGTTTTTACAAGCGGTGTCTGTTCTATTCCGTTACAAACAGCTACGTGCAAATGGCATGTTAGAAGCTGAAGGACAATGGCAGGAGCTCTTCGCATTTCACAGTCAGAAAGTATCAGATTACAATCGCGATATCGACAGACAAAGATCGTCATTGACAGACGTCGGCCTGGGTTAGCAAGGGCGACAACTGGTTCACAAGACCGTTTCATGAGAACCATTTTCAAAGTGCCTTTCACACTACAGATGTGCTTCCAACAGCTCAAGGTTCAGTGTAATCGGGCTCACAAATGGAACCTGCATACCCGGCATTCGACTGTTATCCCGCAATGGTGCCAAGAGCGACAGCGCTGAATCATTTGTCATTGCGCAAACGTAAATGTTACCCAGAACGATCCTTTTGGAGATGGTTCAGTAATGGCATGAATTCACTAGTGGCTTGGGTTCACTCTGACTGGCAGAACACCTTTACGTGTTATTCACAGACGTGTGAGGAAGCTCTGCGGTGACAATATCATGGCAGCATTCATAGATCCAGAATTACACTTGGTTCGTATTGCTTCTGAGAACCTCCAACTGGAGAACACAAGCATCGTAATATGGCCAACACTCAGTCCACATTTGTCATCTATCGAACATATGTTGTATATCCATGTGATCCCTGTACATTACAGTCAATAACTACTGACCACTCAGCTGACACTGGAAGCTTGGTTCGAGTATGTCTCGTCGAATTCGGGATCGTCTTGAGAATAAAGCCACATTCATTCGGTATTAATGTGTGTTTTTCTTGGTACATGACGTGATGGACATTGGGGCGCTTGGCCAACCAAATCCACCCAACAGAATCTCAGGCAAAGCTGGAATAACTGTTTGCTTGTTGTATAACGCCGCACCCAGCAATATTCCAAGTATATGCCGGCAGTCTGTACCTAATAGAGTCAGGTACTCCAGTGAACATCGATCTACGCAACTGGGATACGAAAACATGTGTCAACCAAGACAGCAACCCTGACCATCCGATCCCATTAGTCGCCTTTCAAGAGAAGCATGGGATACTGCTACACTATATTGGGTCATCTGACGTCCATCAACTAATACTAATACAACTCTCATGATCAGTCAGATATCAATGTTATACTATTTTTCTTATAAATGATATAAAGTATACAAACCTTTGATGACTTTATTTTCATAAATATCCCGTACGTCTGACTCGTATATCTAGTGTATCATGTCTAGGTTAATAAAATGTCTTCAGTATATATGCCACGGTGCTCCGATCTTCCTCCAACACTGGATTTAGTGTAAAACATTATTTTCCCTTTCAGGTGTCCTTGGTCAGGACAATCAAACGACAACCCCTTCAACAGCAGCAAAAGGGTAAGCTTTCTGTCTTCACCATTAAATATAAATACCATTTCAATTTCCAAGTAGCATAAGAGACATTATTTTGTTTAACATGCAAATAATCTAAGGGTAAGTTTAAGTTGAAGATGGTTTGTAGAAACCCATTTCACACTATTGATTTCTTCCTCCTGTCTAGTGAAAACGCTCTCAGAACAATGTGAAACTTGCTAAAAACACTCCCCTTCAACAAATGGGAACTAGGTGATGCACCCGTACAATTCCTTCCAACTGATCGTCTGGGCATCAAGACGCAATCTTTTCAAGCAAATATTTATTGCATGAAAGTTACAGGGGAGTTACGTATAAGTAGGTTTTACATAGCAGGCTGGGCGTCTGGCGTTGTGTGCTGGCGATTAAGTGCCTGACTCTGAGGGTGTGGGTTCGAATCCCAGATGGAATTCAACTCAACAAAATTACATGAATCTGTACTTTACTAAGAAAGTATCATACCAAATATAACATATCTTACATTAGACAACAAATATATTGACACTGTTCAAACAAACACACAAACAAACAATATCTTTTAGTTTTCAGCGCCAAAATTCTCCAAAGTCAAACAAATGAGAATTTGATGGTTTATATCGAAAAAATCTAAAGTGGTACCTTTTGCTATTTACAAACTTTTGGCATTTTTATTTTACTGGATATCCATGGAAACAATTTGGACTTCGTCTCGAAAGGGAGGGGTGGGCTTTGTTTCCGAAACACCACTCAAAAACCTTTCAGTATCTTTCAACGAAACTTAGCAGATATATGAGGCAGTTCCCAAAGTGATGCCTATACTATTTGCAGATTTTTGGCATTTATTTGTTTAATGATGTGAACTTTAAGTAACTGTCAGATTAATAGTTCGTTCAAATTTTTGGAGATTTGTCTTCTTCTGATGACTGTTTGTTTTATATATTGTATTGTCTATGGTTTTAGATTCACATGCTGTTTTTGCATCTCAATCAGTTGCTAATGACCTATATCTTATGTTCTTATATTGTATAGTCTTCAAAAGTTAAAATGTGTCAGATTTTTTTGCTATCCTTCATTGACAGATTTTATTTTTTTTTATAATTGAAATTTATGTATGATGAATGTACGACTTAATGGCGTCGTTAGGGTAGATGTAAGAGGTAATCATGGTGATTGTATTCGATTCAAATGAATATAAATACATAAATGAGTGATCCTAAACTTATCTCTGTCAAAGTTATAATTCTCCTGAGTATCTGCTATTAGAATTGTGATGACCTAGCTTCTTCACAATGCATTAGGCTAAGCCTTTCTTTGTGCCGTTGATCCTGTTCTTAAGGGCGTTAAGTGCAAATGTTTATTTCGAAGATATGTTGCATATTTTTCAGAGTTGAGACTGGAGCTATTTTAGGTGGAGTCTTTGGTAGTGCTGGACTGATAGCACTTATTGTGATTTGCTACTTGTGCTTCCGGATCATGAAAAAGATTAGACTATCCAAAGACGGATCTTGTCAACAGATAACTATCAACACAATCTGCTGTAGTAAGTACCAAATTTCACCAAACTATCAAATGTGGTTGAAGCATGATGTTGCTAAACGTAACCACGTGACAACGTATAGTTACATGTATGAAGAAACCAGTTGGGAAAATAATACATTGATCCCTTTGATCACCGTTAAGGGGTTCGCAATCAAAAGGGCAAAATCATAAATGACAAAACAACATTTGGCTTCCAGTCAGGCATCAGATGATCAATTCTGGTCTCTGCTGCCCTGTTTGACATAGGTGGACATTGTCAAACAACAAATCTTTTGGCAAGCAAGGTTTTGGGGACCAATGAGTGAGACACTTCAGACATCGTAACGAGAACAATTTATACTCAGATAAGAAATTTATTTAGACTTTAAAATATCTCCACAACATACAATAAATCTATTGGAGTATCACAGATTTGTGCTTCTTTTTCGTATATTATATTTCAGGACAGTAGGCCAGGAGCTCGAACTTAAAAAAGTTATGATGCGTGACCTTTGACATGCAAGTTTAAGTATCGACCGTGCATGATGTTTAAACGGAGCCACATTCTGTAGAAGCTGAACATATTCTGTTGACATTAGTTTACATAATTTGTCAATTTTTGGACAGGGAGTAGACTTAGGATACAATGGCTCCTTAGATCTTCATACTGTAAACATATGAGTGAGTGAGTGAGTGAGGTTAGTTTTACGCCGCACTCAGCAATATTCCAGCTATATGGCGGCGGTCTGTAAATAATCGAGTCTGGACCAGACAATCCAGTGATCAACAGCATGAGCATCGATCTGCACAATTGGGAACCGATGACATGTGTCAACCAAGTCAGCGAAACTGACCACCCGATCCCGTTAGTCGCCTCTTACGACAAGATAGTCGCCTTTTTATGGCAAGCACATGGGTTGCTGAAGACCTATTCTACCCCGGATCTTCACGGGTCTGTAAACATATGAGAAGAACTGGATATTCTGCAGGACTGGTTTTTAGTAGTATGACATATTTTTATACCTCGCCGCGAGGGGGATATAGGTTTGACATCCGTTCGTACGTTCGAGATGATGGGACAGATTTTCTCAAAAAAACGAAGCCAAACTTGACATGAATGCCTCGGCTGATTCGAAAAAATAAACTGTGTTACAATTTGTTAAAGAGTGATGGCCCTTGTCATGCGTTTTTGACTTGGTGCACGGTATCCCCAGTGGGAACAGAGTTTCTCAGTAACCATTATAGATAGGGAATCCAAATGTGACATGCGTTTTCAGGACACGAATGTTGTGGTGGAGTTAAATTTGTGGCGGGGGATGCTGTTGACCATGTCTTCTTGTTTATTACATTAGATCATAATAACCTCATCGAAACTGTGATAACGATACTCTTAGTTTCCTTACATTTACAAGTGCTTTATACTTTTGACACATGAACTGTTGTTTAAACAGAGCATACGAATATGAACAATTTCAAGTTGGAATATTCCTTGTCCATGTTTGCTAAAAGCAATCCTCGTATGTTTGCTGACCAATGGACAAAAAAGCTGTAACATCCCAAACTCCCTGCCCAATCCATACATATCCAAGACCCAATCGAAACTGTGTAGTTTTAATTAACCTATCCTTGTTATACTAATTTCTAGTGTCACTTGCATTTTTAGCCAAATATCTTACATACTTTCGATGGATAGTGATGAGGTTCAACCAATATGTGCTGTATATTTGGTATCTTCCGTATTCTCCTTGTAAAATATCACTAGTTGTGGACCTGCGGCTAAACAGGAGGTGCCGTGGGCTAGCTGGCTAAGGCGCCAGGCTAGTGATCCAGCGAGATGGTGCCGGGATCGAGCCCACCTGCGACCGGGTGTAAAAGCCTTGGAGTCAACTTCAGTTTCTGTGCAGACTCTTTCAGTGTTGTCACAAACCCTAGTGTACAGTACACAACCCTGTGCACTTAGAAAGAACCCACGAATCCGTTGGTATATAACCAGTTGGTGGCCAAATGAATACGTGCAAACACCTAGTTGCGGGTACAGCAACGTGCAGTAAACGTGTACAAAGTACTGTGATTATGTGTCCCAGTCCACCCAGCTGTGAATGCATACCTCGTAAGGATGGGAAAGCAGCAATAACTCATAATGATCATAAGATGTGCCGTTGAGATTGACATCCAATGATTATGTGCCAGTAAGTACATTATCAAGGGTAGAGTGTCCTGTTCTGGAGCCAGCTTGTTCATCTATAATTTCATCACAGCACGTAGCACAGAATACAAGTCCTTTGCATAAGATATGTGCATATAGTTGGCCAAAACACGTTTTTTGCTTCCTTTTTATAAAATAGCTTTACCAAGCTCTGGAGATCACTTCTTTGATTGGCATTCTAGAAGTTGGGTACATGAAGAATGAGCACTATTTTTATGGATATACAACATCTTTATTCTATATAGGGGACCTTTCGACATAGATTGTAATGTCGTTGTCGTTGCTTTCAACGAGACAACGACATTACAATCTATCTCGAAACGTCGCCTATATAGAATGAAGAAGTTGCATATCCATAAAAATAGTCCTCATTCTTCGTTCCTCTGGAGATCATTTTGTTGAAACATCACCAGTTAGGCTTTTCAGCGTTTGCCAGAACGCTTTGCCGTCTTATAAGCCGATTCGTGTGCATATTTTATTTCTAAAACCGCTGATTGCCTTTGATGACCTGAGTCAAGAGTAGGATGTCCTGGTTTCAACCTTCACGTTGATGAAACGATTGGTTAAAGTGTCGTTATGGCTGAAGATGAAGACACAGCCAATAGTAATAGACCATGAGCGTGGGCTAGTGTTCAACATAAAATACATGTGATGTGCAAGACCTCTTGTTCCGCTAGAGTAGGTTGCACAAACTAAATGTTTGTTTTCATGGTATACCCGCCATTTCAGACTGATTATTCAGGCTTCAATGGCTTACCTGGTCGAACCTGGATCCAGTATTTTCAAATGCATGAAATATAATGGAAAAACTGCTGAGAGGGGCGTTGAACAAGATTCACTGAAAGATTATCACAATCTTGAACAAATCCTTAAGTATTTGAAAGATTATTTTTATTTCTTTGCAGAATGCTGCAATTTCGGCCAGTCACCACAATCTCCAACATCAACACCAAAATCAACATTAGGGCAACCTCCATCATATTCTGAATCATGTGAAGGAAAGCACCCGTCAGGACAGTCAACTTCTGTCACAGTGTCCGTGTCGGACGACGAACTGTAAATGGACAATTATTGGGTTTGTTGACATCATTATTCTATTATTTTGACGATGTCGAACTACTATTCTAAATACTCTCATGAATATATTTTACTACGTGAGGATACTCCATTTGTGCCATTTGAACTATTAAATGAATCTTTTTCAAAAGATTAAATCATGTTTGAATAAAGTTTGACTGATATCAAGAAATGTTGGGGTTGCGTAGGGCGACCTGTCTCAGGCGCCAGGCTAGTGATCAAGCGAGCTGAAGGTGCCAGGATTGAGCACACCTGTGACCGGGCGTAAAAACCTTGGAGTCAACTATGTGTGCAGACTATTTCATTGTCACAACCCCTAGTACACGGAGCCCATAAAATCCGTTGGTAAATGACACGAATACGTGCAAACACGTACCCAGATAACACAGCCTCGTTGGGCCGACGTCGGTATAAGTTAAATCGGCAAAAACCGTTGGGCCGACGTTGGCTTATCGGTTAAACCTGTCACGGCAATCGGTCGGCTGAATGGTGGCACTTGCAGCAGTGGCTCGACGTTGCCACGCCACCGCCTTCAGGGTTTGTCATGCACATGTATGTAAACAGTGCACATGTGACAGATTCTACATCATTTTTTTTAGGAAATGTGCCAGCCAATTCTTTTGCCATGTTTTGTTGATCGTAATAAAGTATGTGCATGCATATTTGCCTAACATATTCTCACTGTAAATGCAAGATTTCCTTACATACGTTTCAATGTACAAACTCTTTAAAATGAAATTGTTTACTAAGTAGTTACAATTAGTTTAATTAGTTTATCCATGGTGGTCCAATAATTAAAACACTTTAGATGAACTAAGTTCATTTCCATTTTTCCATCTAAATCTTTATCAGTCAAAGGTGTAAACAATGTATACATGTGGCCAGTAAATTTCCACTGCCCTGTGGCCTTAAGCATGGAGCACATGCTTGCCAGTGTGTATTGGACCTCCATGCTGACTGTAAGCTGAACTATTTACAGACACATATGTGAGTACTTTACCCTTTCATTGCTAGGTTGTATTATCTCTAAATTACAATTAAATTGCATATATGCCAAAATGTTAATTGGTTAGTACAAAAATTGTTCATATATTTCTCACAATTATTTGTAAATGTGTGGTTGTTAATAAACTGTAATTTCTAAAAAGTCTCTATGTAATAAAACCTGTTGATGCGAGTATCAGTTTTTGTGTTCTTGCATGAACACTTACATATATAATTATATTTAAAAAAATATATACATTTAATTTGATATGCATGCAGGGTTACAGGAGATGAATATTTAAAGTTAAAAAAGTTCTGTGATTTAATTTAATTATACCGCCTAGCTTCAAACTTATATATTTACAACCGGGACGTTTGCCAATAGCGGTCAGCACGATAGTGGTTTATCTCCCCTCACCAGAGGGCGCTGTAAACAGGAACTGACTTTAGGCGAGAGAATTTGAAAGCAAACAATGTGACGGACATGTGAGTATTCACGTCTCCTATTCTTTAGGTATATCCCTATTCTAGCGGAAGTGCCATGCAAACTTCGAACTACAAATCAATATTATTCTAACAAAGATATTTTAATACGGGGAAATTTGAATCATTTGGTGAGTTGTGAAAACCTCTTTTGAAAAAGGGGCCGGTAGATCGGCAACATTATTCAGAGGAGTTAAACAGCAACAATTCATACCACCATACCACTTTGAAACTTTTATTAGATTCCAAATTCGGTATATTTCTTGAAAATATTGTTTAAAAGGTTATTGTGGATTTGTTCTTGTCTGGTGTATCACTGAATACCATACCGCTAAATTAGGGAACTCGATTCCTGTACAAGATGGTGACCCCCATGTTTTTTTTCGGATGATTTTTCCTTTGAAATTCATCACGCTAAATGGAATGAAAACTTAACAGGTTGACAAAGAGTTTACATATTATGATGTTTTAGTTAGGAAACGACCTAGTAATTGATGACACTAGTTTTTCACTAAGTACCGCAAGAATAAGGTCCGACCGATTATGGATATGCACAACTTATATTTTTAGGGTAATATTACCATTTGGAGCAGATTTAGATTTAGAAAACAAGCTTCTCTTCTTGTCACTCAATGAATAAGAAAAGCATGTTCAAGAGAAATATTCACGCTAAAATTGGTACAAATTACTTCATCAACATTTGCCTCGATTTTTAATCGTCAACAAAAGCAAATCCCCATCACTTTTAGTTTACATTTCTTTACCTTGACATGAAGAGTGAAATGATCATTTGAATCAGAGACAAATATAAATCGTTTGTTTTTCTCAAGATTTCGATAGACCTGACCCCATTTCACTCAAAGTGAACAAGATTTTTATAAAGAGGCCGAGGTAGAGTTTAGTGCTCAAAGATTAACATTTTTATTTTGAAGTTATGAAGATGATATTGGATGCTAAATATATTGGATCTATATATTCAAGAAAGTCTTTCATAAGGGTTTCTTGTTGTCTTTTATAATAGTGTCTTGTTTGTTGATATAAGTTTATTTTTTATTCAGATGCATAAAATAAATCCTGTTTCACTGAATCATCGAATGAAATAGTCATTAAAAACTGGCTTAAGTATGCTGCGGACAAAGATCGAGGGCACAAGAAGCGTTCAGATAAGCAAAAAGGTGCATATTTTTCAACTTTTATGTAGCTTTTGCTTCTTTTGCCCTCCATCTTTGTCCGCAGTAAATCGGACTATAAACTTTGTCAAATTAAGTAAATCATCAAATATCATGTTTTAATAGGCATCGTAAAAGAAATCCTTCAAATCAAATTGGGTGTTTAACTTTCCAAAGTTCTACTGCTAACCTGACACTACAGAAATTACTTAATAAACATTCAGGGCCTAGATTTTCGAAGATCTCTTAGCACTAAAATAGTCTTAAGTGCCATACATTAACATTAACTTACGACTATCTTAGCGCTAAGAGAGCTTCGAAAATCTAGGCCTAGGAGTTTACGTTTACATAATCTTATTTTGGATAGTAACTTGTCGCTGTCTTTTAAGAGAAAGAGAGGAAACATGCAGCCAAAAGACGGGCGCTGTCCCAGCTGATGGACAGTTTTTCTCCTGATGATGCTGTTATTTAAATAAATTCATGCGTGTAAGCTTGTTTTACTTTTGTTGTCAAGAACCTGAAGACAAAATGAAATACAGTGGCTGCGGGTGCTGATATTCTGTGCATTTTTTCCATTTTTTTGCTTTGCTACACAATATCTTAGGAAATTCGCATAAGGCTAACTTGTCCAGCGGAAGTTGTAATCTGACCAATCAAAAATATACTTTCAAATTCGTGAAAGAGCTTCGGAACGTTATCCAAGTATCATTACCTGTACAAAGTTCACGCGGACGACCACACCTATACGAGCTTCCTCAGATCTTGTGTAGCGAACCTGGGGAGTGGTCCATCGATTGAATCATTTAAAACATTTGATAAACTGTTGATCTTGATACTAAACAATGTGACAAACAAAATACTGCCTTTTGGAACACCCTTATCCTGATAGTAATGATCAGACAGGGTAGACCCGATGCGGACTTGAAACTGCCTGTTAGCTAAAACGTTCGATATAATTTGAGTCGAACGGCCTCGTAATCCAAGGTCATGAAAATCTTTTAAAATACCATGTTTCCATGTAGTGTCGTATGCTTTTTCTTGATTGCAAAAAATCGACTTTGCATATTGTATATTAGTTATGGCATTTTTTGACAAAATATTCCACATGTACTAAATGATCGATGGTATTTCTGTTTTTAAAAAAATACACATTGTCTATCAATTATTAACCATAGTCTTGCAAAAACAGCTAGTTAGTGAAATTGTCTATAATTAGAGGGATCAGTCCAGGTTTAGGTATGGGAACAATAATAGCATCAGGCCACGAGACAGGAAATTTTCCAGATGTCCAAATGTCATAAAAAAATATATGTAAGAGGGTTTCCAAACAAGATTCAGGTAAGTGCTTCAGGAGTTAATAAGGTATGTTATCAGCCCCTGAAGCAATATCGAGTTCATGTATTGAAAAGGTTTCATTGAAATCTTCCCCATTATCTGAAGTGATTTTTATTCTTGCTGTTTTTGATATTTTTTGAATCGAGGTACATTATCAGATTAGGAATAATTTTTGGCCAACGTCTCACCAAGTTTATTTGCAATATCTGACATATAAGTCAATAATGGATTTCCATCTGAAAACACCTCCGAGCTGTTCAGCAATCCTAAATGAGCAAGAATATCGCTAGAAGCAGTTGTGCATGGTGGAAGGTAATTCTCATACCTGTAAATTGGAATTTTACATTCATTGCGAGAAGCAAATAGATTGTAAATTAATGGTATTTGATTGGTTAGCAAAGCATTTTTTTCGTTTCTGCTACGCCCACCATAAGTCTATTTGCATTCGTCATTTTGCGTGTCAAGCCAATCATGCGCCAAGCCCCCAGTGCTCTAACGCTTAGTCACTCTTCTGAATTTTCATGTGGCTCATATAAAGTTGCATATATTTCAAAATAATACATAAAAATGTAGTTTATTATCTAGACAGTCTGCTTGGTATAGTTGACATTCGACGAAACGTTTTGTTGTCCAAGGGAGATAACTCCATGCTTTCCAATCACCCGATCAAAGAACCACCTCATCTGCACATGTAGTTGGGCTAGTGGTTGTGTAAAGTTTTGTTGTACGTACGAATGTACACAAATAAAGTCTTTAGGCAAGGCATTATTCGAGAGTATCAAGGGTATGAGCGTAACATACAATGCTGGTCTTAAAATATGAGATAGGTGACTTTGCAGTCTCCCCATCTCTTAGACAGATGTTTGAAGGTATAACACTGCCTCATAACTACATTAACATGAAAAGTAATTACTCCTGAAAACGAAACAAAGAACATGTTCCAATATCTGTTTAACTGGGGCAAATAGTTTTGCCCAGCCAATGACCTGCTCCATGGAAAACAAGAATTCAAAGCTGAAAATGGACTTCCCGATCAACGAAACATACAGTAGCATTCCACCGGCAGATATTACAAATACCTTCATAGAACCATAAATGATGACTGTAATCCTCCGTTATCAAGTGTGGCACGAAATGGCAATCCATTTCATCACTTCAGGTGACAG